TGTATGTATATGTATGTATGTATGTATGTATATGTATGTATGTATGTATATATATGTGTATATATATGTGTATGTATATATATATATATATATATATATATATATTTATACACAGTTTTTAATATGAAGAATTTTATATCAGTTTAACAGTTTTAAATTGTCACATTTTTGTATTAATTTATTTGTTGAATAGTCAAGAAGGTCAATGCCTCTGAAGGTGCAACAGGTCAACATCATCAATTTAAGAGGAATATATTTTATGCTTTTTTTCAACTGGTTTAATTTTATCTTAAGACATTAAAGATGGGATTTGTGGCTCTATTTAAAAAAAAATTTAATTGAAGATTGCACATGTATTTGTAAAAAGTGCCAATAAAATAGTATGTATACAAGAGGTATGACAATTCTGTGATTTAAATACTACGGTAAATGTCTTCAGGTGCATGTGCCTGTTTGGAGCTTGGCAGATGTGGACACTATCCGTCACTGAATATAAAAGAGCTGTGTAAAAATGTGTCCTATTGTGTTCCATAGGGGACAAAAAGCATGCAAATGTGAGGATTGGGACACAAAAAGGCCCATTTCCTTGGCATCATGTACAATACAAGACAATCTAAATGATCAGTGGATCTCTGTACTGAATGAAACTCTATAGTCCTCTGAGTATTAGATGGGGCAACCTGAGAAACAGCGGCCACCGCAACATCGCTTTACATTCACATGACGGTCAAGAACTATCAGGCACAGTCAGCTGAGAACAGATGTGTGTAAGAGAGAAAGAAAGAGAGATTTCACCTATAGTGCATGTATACAGCATGTATCAAATATTTGGACCATAGATCTTAATATGTCATATCTGAAGATCTTTATACAACTTAAATAGTTCAGCAAAAAATAATAAAATTAATAGTACAAAAAGTAGTACTCATGCAACATAAAAATGTGAAAACCATGCAAGCCATTAACAGAGAATTAAGGTTTATAAAACCTTGTTTGCATAAGCTGCATTTGTAGCCTATATAATTTTTTTTTAAAGATTGTATTAATTTCCATGACTTTTCCAGTGCCCAGTGCAAAAAACCCTTTAAGAAACCTGTTAGGTGGATTTCCCGAACCAATGACTCGTAAGAATCGGTTCTTTTTAGTGAATCAAAAACATACGGCATCAACAGTAAGGTTCGATTCATGAATAAATGGCTCTTATGAGTCGATTCTTTTTAGTGAATCAAAAAGCGAACGAAGCCTCAGACTGTCCTTTTCTTTAGTGATTGCAAACACCTAAACACTTAAATCACCTTGTTACTGAATGAAAATGTATTCATTTACCGAGTAATTATTGTCGTCATGTCCGATTCAAAAGAACAGTTGTTATATTTAAAAAACGTAATTCAGCGTAGGCTGTTGATATGACAATGTGTAGTTAAAGATACACAATATGAGTTTGTTTGTAGTCAGTAGTACTTTATAAAAGTAAATGAATTATTATAAAATATTATAGGTTGTTTTTTCACACATAGCCTAGTTAGGAGGACCAATGCCGCCTTTAAAAATCACAACGTCCATTTTGAAAGAATTAGATTAAATTTATTTCCTATTATATCTGATCTGTAGAAATCTGTAATGAGTTATATATTAATACTAATTGAAATGGCTGTAATATACAAGAACTCCATTTCTTATTTCAAATATTTACTGCTCAAAAGAATCGTAGTAGCACTGTCAAGGAATCGGAATCGTTCGGTTCTTCCCACCCCATGTGAGAATGTAGACGCCGGGCTCGACTGACTGTGAGCGCCCGCCTCTGGAGGACATACGCCGGGGACTCGACACGTGATCCGCTCGCCACAATCCAGTATGGCGGAATCCGTCGGTGAGTGGATCCGTGGTTGGCGCGCTCTCCAACGGGAATAAAGTCCGGAGCGTTGCATCCGATCGCGGCGGAGCTGCGGAGAGGTGAGCGACGACTCGCATGCGTTCTCCAGTGATTTTATACTGAAATGCACTGATCACTTCCATAAGATAAAGAAACTTGTGGGCGATCAGATGAAACAATCAAAACAGTGTGTGTGTGTGTATTGTATTTTGTCCAGAAGTGATGGTTTAAAATGCCTTTTTATGGTGGATTTGTTTCTTACAAACATGCAGCTGTTTACTTCACAATTTGTTAATTGATCTTGCGGATTACTTGTGGATTAACAAACTCACCTACCTGTGATTTTCTAATGATCCTGAAGACATTGATTGGCATACTCAGGTGTGTTTGATTAGGGTTAGAGCGAAACTCTGCAGGAAAGTGGATCTTGTGGGCCAGATTTGAGGATCCCTGCTATACATGTTAAAATAAAAATATTAATTTTGAAATTAAACTTTACTTTCACGTAATTCTTTAGAAATGGTCTACTGACTTAAAACCAATCAGACAGATATTATTGATGCTTTAATTTTTGGTCACAAAGTAGGTGTTCTCTTTTCAGAAATGAGATTACAGTAATGTTTTTTTTTTTTTCTGTTTGTAGTCGATAAACAATGGACAGGAATGTGCTTTTTCCTTGTGTACACTAAAATAGGAAATATTAGAAAACAGAAAATGTTAGAAAATTACATTTTCATGAGATTAAAAGTTGTTAGGGTTAAATGTAGTTTTTGTGCTTGTCTTGAAGTAAACGACCAAACAGAACATGAGGGCTGAGAAGTTCCCTCGGCTGTTTTCATGTTCTGAGCTGAGTCATGACGTCTATGTTGTCCGCTGGTGGTTATATCATGCTGTCGGTCTGGGCAGCTGTCACACATAGCTGGTGGTTGAAGCTCCAACATGTGGCATCATGCACAGGCGTATAAATCCAGGCTTTAATCACAGTCTGTAGGAAGCTCGCTCGTCTTTCCACATTCCGGCTCTCAAGGACTGGCGCTCAGACCTTGTAAATTTCAGGCCCCACAGGAAGAAGGTCAAAGCAGCTTTCTGAGAACTTGGCAGCAGAGAGTTAAATCCAGTCTGGCACGACCCCAGTTGTGCACTTTTTGACTTCTGCGAACAAACAAAAAAATAATGTGCAGTTGTGCACAATATTGCACTTTAACACGTTTGGAATATTTTTGCTGTTTTTATTTTATTTTTTCATGTCAAGGGTCTTATTTCACCCCAGCAAATAAACAAAAGAAATGATAAATATTATAATGTTTAAAGAAAATGAAACTTTTTAAAGTCCACAAAGATTTTCTGCTATGTGACATAAGTTTGATGCAAAATACCATTTTCCCCCTCAAATCTCATGGTAAAGAAATATTTCATACATTCTCATTACTGCTTAAAAACCAAAAAAACCAAAAAAAAAAACCTTGAATGGTGCTGGCTTTATATTTGCTGACTGAAATCAAATCATTCTATTACACTGACGATAATTTGATGAAAATCACCATTGAGAATAATGAGAATTAGGCTTAGGCATACAAAAAATGTCCAAATGCATGATGATAAAAACGTATAGAAATGCAAAAAAAATAATGGTTCTAAAAATGACCGCTTAAGAATATTTTTGTATTGCGAAATCTAAGAATTCTGTATCATGGTTTCCACAAACAAATTAAGCAGCACAACTGTTTTCAACATTGATAATAATAAGAAATATTTCTTGAGCAGCAAATCAGCATATTAGAATGATTTCTGAAGAATCATGCGACACTGAAGACTGGAGTAATGATGCTGAAAATTCAGCTTGCTTGTCACAGGAATAAATTACATTATAAGATATATTCAAAAGAAAAGAAAACGGTAAATTGTAATATTTTACAATATTACTGTTTTTACAGACTTTCATTGACCCCAAACTTTTGAACAGCACTGTTTTATCAATGCTTCCATTAATGGCTTGCCGTTAAGTTTGCACCTCTCATTCTACATTCTACTCAACCCATGGTGACTCGTCTATGATTGAATAATTATAAAACACCTTTTCCCATTGAAATGCATACAGCATCATTTATCCTATCTGTGTTTCTCTGTCCACAGATCCAGTCTGTGTGACTTGGCAAAGTAGTATTCTGAGTAACGACAACGCTTAGTGAATGTGACTAAATGGCAGTGTTTAGGCCCACACTTTATATAGTCTCAAATAACAATTTAAATCAGTTTGAGACCCTCGCTAATCAGTTCTGCTCCTTAGGGTACATAATTAACAGTGCCGGATGATTCATGGAGATTGGCAGTTTGCACCGTTTGCCGCATCTGTGGCTGAAGAGGAAAGAGAGGGAGAATTTGGCTCCAGCCGCTCTTACATGATGCTTCGCGAGGAAAAGCGCTAACAGGAGACGGGGCGTAACTGTAGGAGGTAAATGCGGCTGGACAGATGACAAGTATGACTGGCGATCCATACAAAGGTTGTCCCCTTACTGGAAAATTGGATGTCACAAGCAGTGTTATTTAGAGGATTGTCTTAATGTCCGCGAGGCCTTATGTTATCTGCTGTGTCTCTGGATACTTGTAGGATGGTGGTAAATTAACTCCTTAAAGGATTAGTTCACACACAAATGAATATTTTGTCATTATGTATTCACCCTCGTGTTTTTCCAAACCTCTGTGACTTTGTTTTTGTGTGGAATGCAAAAGGAGATATGTATAACACTGTGCAAGCTGCTTTTTTCCATTCAATGAACGTGAATGGTGACCATGACTGTCAAGCAACATTTTAGTGAATAATGACTTAAATTTGGTCCATTACTCACATAATGCATTCGTGTATGACTTCAGAAGACTGGAATATACTGCAAGATTCATTTGAACTGCTATTATGCTTCTTTTGTTGAGGTTTTTTGTCCTTTATGGGATTTGACAGCCCATTGTCCCCATTCACGTTTATTGTATGGAAGAAACGTTCTACTCAAACTTCTCATTTTTGTTCCAGGAAAGCAAGTCAGTCATATATTAGGGCTACACGATTAATCAAAACGATCTGTGCACTGCATGTTTCAGAGTGAAGCGCAGCACTGCCTTATTTTTAACGCGAGCAACTTATGAACTGTTTTTATGAGTAAATGCTTCTCTGCATCTGCACTGAGTTTGGGTCGCTTATAACATTATAGCATTTTGGAACATGTCTTATGTGCCAACCATTTTTCCAAACTTGTAATAAGAAGCGCTTTTAAATCTGTTGTCAACAAAGAGAAGCTTTAAGGTCTTGCTGGCGTTTTCCACCAAAAAGCTTGATAATTAACATTTGAAAATGCAGAAATGACGAATTAAATATATTGTAATTTTACAGTTTTACTGTACAATTATTGTTTTTCTTAAATACTTTTTTCTTTTTTTCTTTTACAGTGAAATATTACTATAGTAATTTTTATTTAGTAACGACAACAACAGCAATAATAATAATAATAATTATTATTAATTATTATAGTAATATTTTGGAGCATTACAACAGCACCAATCATCATTTATTTTTATTATATGGAAAATAGCAGAGTAATATGGATATTCTTCAGATCTTAATTATTCGTGCTCCACTGACAAAAGAAATTCATTTGGGTTTGGAATGACATGAGGATGGGTAAATAATGACAGACTTTTCATTTTTGGATATTAGAATCCGTGGTTTGAATGCTGTCGCCTCAGTGTGGAATCATTTAGTGTCCGTCTGTGTCACTTTTGGTTTGCTTAAGTGCCTGTTTGTTTTTCCATTGTGCTCTGGCAGAACTTGGCGAGGCTTGGGTTCATTTGGCAATCCGTGTTTGTCCGAAACCCAAGACTGCAATAATGAAAAGCTGATGAGTTTAATGAAAACTGAGTGTTTGTGGGCAGTGCATCAGTCAAGGTGATGTGAACCTCATTGTCACCTAACTGTGACCCTTCTGGCTTTTGTCAGCTCATTAAACTGTTATAACGCTCCGCTGGGCTGGCAGACCGAGTGGAGGACGCAAAAGGCAGACAAGAGCCGAGGGAAAGTGAACGAGCGCAGTGAGAGAGTGAGTGATGATTGTTTTGCCCCTCATAAAGTCCAGGCAGGCACACAGTCACAAGGCTCATTTCCTGCTCTGTTTATCTGAAAACACACAGGCCTGTATGGAAATGGAGATGTTGAAGTCTTGCTGCTCAACTGATGCTCATCGGACTGTTTAAAGGGATAGTTCACCTTAAAATGAAAACTGTCATCATTTACTCACTCTCAAGTTATTCCAAATCTGTAAGAGTTTATTTCTTCTGTTGAACACATAAGAAGATCATTCTTGTGAAGAATGTTGACTATGGAACATTGACTTCCATAGTATGACAGAATTTTTATTTTTTGGATCAACTATCCCTTTAAGGAATAGCTCATCTTAAAATGAAAACACTCTCAGTATTCACTCACCCTCATGTTTTTCCAAACCTGTACGCTGTTATTTATTTTGCAATAGGTGAATTTCTGAATCGCATATAGGTCTTTTCCAACAATTGATAGTGACTATGGCTGTCAATCTCCAAAATAGAATATTAAAGGGGTCATATGATGCGATTTCAATTTTTCCTTTCTCTTTGGAGTGTTACAAGTTATTGGTGCATAAAGAAGATCTGTAAAGTTGCAAAGACTAAAGTCTCAAATCCAAAGAGATATTCTTTATAAAAGTTAAGTCAACCACGCCTACCTAAAACGGCTCGTTCTAACACGCCCCCACATATCTACCTCACTATGTGGGAAGATTTGCATAACGCCGCCCAAATGTTCAATCAAAGAAAGAAGGCGTAACTTTTATCCTCGCTGTAGTATTGTTGTTGCTACACTCTCGTCACTCTAGCCCCCGGCCTCTGCTCACTCGCCACCGTGTGTGACGCTGTGTTTCGTTGTGAAAGCGAAACTTTGTTTGGTCTTCCAAAAATGGACAAGACTAGAAATCAGTGGTTAAGTTGTATTGACAACACTGTTCCAGAATACTTCAACCCAAATATTCAAATGTATGCTGCGCATTTTATGGAGGACTGTTTCCTGAACCTGGCAGAGTAGACTACAATGCCGGCTGTTCTGACTCAAAGACTGTAAGTAGTACGTCTTTTATATTTAAAGAGTTTTTATATTTTTTCTTTTTAGCAACATCATATGACCCCTTTAAACACTGTTAGAGGGGTTGTTCGCTCAAAAAAAAAAGACAATTTATGTCATTTATTTACTCATTGTCATTCCAAATCTAAACCTGTATACTTATATTTCTTCTGTGGAACATAAAAGAAGATATGCAGTTTAAGTCATGCAGTTGGAATTTTGATACCCAGCACTCTTCAAAATATCTTCTTTTGTGTTCCGCAGAAGAAAGAAATGCATATAGGTTTGGAATGACGAGTAAACGATGAACAAATTCTCATTTATGGGAACTATCTCTTTAAGGCAGCATAAAGAAGCGCACAAAACTAATGGACCATATCATCTCTTAAAATCTCATTACTAGTTGCATTTAAATAAAACAAATGGCCTCAATTTAGATTTCTTCCTACACAGTCTTTTGAACTACTTGCATGGTGCTTTTATGATGTTTTATTGTCCATTTTTGAGCTTGATGACAGCCAGTTATTTTAGTATTATTTGCTTACTTTTATTAAAGGGGTCATATGACGTTGCTAAAAAAGAACATTATTTTGTGTATTTGGTGTAATTAAATGTGTTTATGTAGTTTTAAGGTTCAAAAAAACATTATTTCCCACATACTGTACATTATTGTTTCTCCTCTATGCCCCGCCTTTCTGAAACACGTCGATTTTTACAAAGCTCATCGGTCTGAAAAACGAGTTGTGCTCTGATTGGCCAGCTATCTGATTGGCCGAATACCTCAAGCGTGTGACTGAAATGTTACGCCCCTTACCATACTGTGATGCCGTGTCCCGATGCGACGAGACCAAACCAATAAAACCTATTATAAACGAGGCATTTGTAGCATCCAGTGGGGACATAATTACTGATTATAATGACTTATGCTGTCTTTCTACGTTGCATCGCGCCACGAAAACATAAAACATGTCTGCATTTGTGATCTGAGAAACGAGAAACAACAAGCGCTACTCTACACCGCTCAAAACTCGCGTTTGAATCGTCAGTGGCAAATCCTTTAAATATGAGAACGTACTTACAGGCTGTGAGTCAGCATTATTTGTCAGCATCATAGACTGTGGTCAGCATGCGCGCCGAAGGGGAAACGGGGGAACTGAATTCACCGGCATTGTAGGCTACTCTCCCAGGAAACAAAGTAGTTTCGCTTTCACAATGAAACGCACAGCGTCTCCACGACATGGCAACAATACTACTGCGAGAATCAAAGTTACGCCGCCTTTCTTTGCATGAACATTTGGGCGGTGTTATGCAAATCTTCCCACACAGTGACGTAGACATGTGGGGGTGTGTTTGAACGAGGCGTTTTAGGTAGGCGTGGTTGACTCTTAACTTTTATAAAGAATATCTCTTTGGGTTTGAGACTTTAGTCTTTGCAACTTTAGGGATTTTATCTATTCACGAACAGCTTGTAACACTCCAAAGAGAAAGGAAAACTTGAAATCGCATCATATGACCCCTTTAATATTTTGAATTAGCGTATTTTTTATGTTTTTAGTTTTCATTTTATTTATTTTTTTGTTTTAACTTTTAGTAATTTTATGTGCTTTTTGTCTTTTTTTTAATTATTTTTATTTATTTAGTTTTATATTACCGTTTATGCTTATTTATTTTATTTCAGTTTTAGTTTTAGTTCAGTATTTATTTATTTCCAATTAGCAAGTTAAAAATAATTCAGTTAATTTTCCAGTTTTCATTTAGTTAAAGTTTTGCGTCTAATATTTATATTTTATTTTATTTCAGCTAATTTCATTTAACAAAAATAATACTAAAACTATTACAATTTTATTTAATGATAAAAACCCTGATGACAGTTGTAGTTACTGGAAAAGCTGCGTGCAGGTTCATCAAAGATTCTTCCAGAGGAGAAGATTCTCTTCTTGTGTTCCACACAAAAAATAGCTTACAAATTTGGAAGGACATGAGGGTGAGTAAATAATGACAGAATTTTCATTTTCGGCTCATCTAATTCCTTTAATGAACACCTAGTGCACCAAATCACTGGTTTAAACATACGCAATCTGTTGCTCACCAGCCCATATTTTTTTTATCACGTCTTGCATTAGTTTACACTGCCAAACCAAGACGTCAGCGATTGAGCGAATTCCTTAATGAAACATTTGGGCATAGTGGCATAAGAGTGAATTTAATGGCACACAACACAGTTTACCACGTCAGCCCTGGCGAGAAACGCTGAAAATCACTGCCTGCCTGCGAGTTGATGTGGAGTTTCTTTCCATCACTGTTCCCTCATAAGT